AGATCACGTCATAAAAAAATTTTAAGCCGTCATTCCTATTATTTATGCTTATACAGATTGTACATTTTTTACTCGGTTAAAAATATACAATATTTTTGTAAATATTGTATGTTTTTACACAATACAAAAAACAAATATAAAAAAAGTTTATATTTTGATTTTTTTTAAATATTTTTTTTTTTATTTTTTTAATGAAACACATTTTTGTATTTATCATATATTCAATACATGTTGGAATAAAATCTTGGTCGTTTAGTTTGACGATTATACAGCTCGTTCAGACTAAAACCGAATATATCTATATATATATATGGGGCGTGGCCTCGCCTCCCTCCAACGCGCGACACAGTAGCTAAGCAAATAGACTGCATCGCTAATGAGATTTTTTGCATTATTTCCTTTCGTCATGTCGTTTATCACACAAGCAACTGTGACGCGCCTTGGAGAGAGGCGAGGCCACGCCCCATATATATATATATAGATATATTCGGTTTTATTCTGAACAGGATGTATATTGCTTCAGAATCTCGAACAATTGACCAGCAATATTCACCCAGCAAATGCCTGATGTCTTTTCCCTTGAAGCGTTTTTCAATTGTTAAAATGTCTTAGTGAAAACGTCCGCCATGTTCGTCACTAAAATCGCCCAAATTTGGTGGAAAATAGTCCAAATGAGCATGGAGAAAATGTATTTTCAGTGACATATGTACTTTCATGTCCTGTGTTATAAAATGTACTTTATAACCCGAACTACAGGGAATAAATTCAGATTCCATCTCGGAAAAAATGGTTGTACTGGGTGTTAAAGGTCTTTTACTTTTATCCTCACATATGTTTTCTGAAGGAGCAGTTGGGTAATCTTCAGATCGCACTCTTGCAAGAATGACGGATTCTACATCGGCGTAATCAATTTTCTTTCCAGTATTGTACCGAAATCCAAAACTTTTTAATTTTGACATGCAGAAATAACACTGGTCAGATGCGTGTTCGGTACGTCGCGACGGGTCGAAGCCAAATTAGCTAAATTAGCAACATATTTCATACTGTGTGTTTTATCTTGCAATCCATGCAAACAACGGTAACAATAATCGCATAAAACCTATGGTACATACCATAAGTTTGGTATATACGTCACCAAAAAATAGTCTTCAAAAGCTGTTACTACACTTTTTGTAATATTTCGCATATGGCTTGGAGGTACAAATAAACCACATACATAACAAAAATTATTTCGATTCGGACACTGCATTTTTACTTTGATTTCAAATGGATGGTTAACTCAACAATCAAAATTAATATGAAAAATTTATCGATTTATCGCTGCAATAATGTTTTTATTTAACATTTAAAAAAAAAAGTATTACCCTCGTATAAAGATTGTTTTGAAAACAATGCTTTTTATGTATAAATGCCGCAGATGTGTAAATTTTTTGTTTTTTTGCTGTTTCAATTGACTTTGTATACTTAAATACTTTTTTTACTTAAATTAAATATGTTTTAGGTACACTTGCTTTAAGACTTAAATCAATTCATTTAAATATCTTTTAATTTTTTTTAAAAATGTTAATTCAACAAAGCTCAATTTTTACAAAACTCTGTATAAGATTAAAATAATTTTAAAATGCATCTATAATGGTTGCCTATCCATTTAGTAAATATATATATTTTTAACTATGCAGTCCAGCTGTTATCGAGTCTATTAAATTATGTCGCGAATAGTGTGAATAACATTTTATTGGATAGCCCTTAAAAAAAAATTATGACGTGATGTGAAAAAACGCCGAGACACGGGTATCATTTTTTTAACTCTATTTTTAGAATCTGTAGAAATTTTTCATGGGAGGGACCAAAAATCAAATTTTGTCGTACTGTGTTATCAGAGTAATCAGAGTTTAAAGTGGTAAAAGCATTTTTGTTCTTTGGGAAATAATAATGATAATAATAAGTAAATAATAGTACTATTTAAAAAATGCAGTTTTGTTAAGGTAATATAAAAAATTATTGGATCAAGATTAAAATAAAAATTTAAATATAATATTTACAGAATAAAAGGTAAAGGACTGAAATTAAGTATTTAAATAATATTATATTAAAGCAAAAAATTACATACTAATTATATACTTTTTTTAATGCATTGTTAACATTTTTTACCTCTACTTTATAATAAAATATTTTTATGCATAAATGAAAGTAAAATTACAGTAGTAGTATTGTATTGTATCTTAAACGTTTTACAAGTTGATCTTGTAAATTTATAACAAAAATACTAGCATTGTTTTTCTTAAACTTTTTACAAGTTATTCCTGTAAATTTAAAACAAAAACACTAAGAATAGAATTACATTATGTAAATAACCTGATTCAGTAATGGTAATTTTATTATAGTTTTTAATAGTAAACATTTAGTAAATTTACCATTATTTTTAACAGTGCACCTATAAATACATTTAAGTAAAAAAAATAATCTAAAATGTTTAATAGCAAAAATTATTCGTGAAATCACAAACTAATGTAAATCATTTTAAGAAAAACTAGACCATAAAATGGAGGAAAATTATAAAAATATGGATAACAAAAATATAAAAATTCTTAAAAATTGGTTTAAGGTTAGAAGAATAATCGAGAACATGAAGTAAATTAGCGGAAGTCTTTAAAAAAATCAGTTTTAAAGTTGAAAAATAATGAAAAATAATAATTGTTTTGAACAATAATCCAACTGTAAAAAAACTAGGATATTGAAATAGATCTAATAACATTATTATACATTTGAGATAAATGTTTGATGTTTAAAACATACAAATATTATTTTATATCAATTAAAATTTTTCTGGTGCAGGATGTATTGATAATTATTAATTATTAGATGAATTTATGTGCTATGCAGGTGGCCCTTTTAGATAATCACCACATGTGCTTACGAAGTTTATGACAGATTATTGATAACAATATTATTGTTATGCGGATTGCACATGTAAAATTCAACGATGCTTTTTAAATAAACATTATACGTTTTAAAGCTTTTTGTCAGTTTTGCAATAAATATTATTTAAAGGAAAAATAATCACTTTTGTTATTACAACAGTCTGGCAGGTGGGAAATAAATTAGATACGCTGAAAGCTTTTTTAACATTATTATAATAATGTAGATAATAGTAATTTATTGCATATATGCAATAAATTACTATTATCTACGCCAGTGAGATAAGAACTTCTTATCCCTCTCATTTTGAGTGAGATAAGAAGTTCATTAACGCACGCGTTTTTCTCTGCTTTTAACCAATCAAATAAAAAAGTCAAAATGTCAAAATAACCCTAAATTAAGTCTTAGACAAAAATAATTACCGTTTATTTTTTCATTTAGAGGCGTAGATAAAAATTTGTACAATATACGTGTGATAACGCTTTATTAACGTACTTTTGCGATTGCCCAACTCGTGCTACGCACTCGTTGGGCAAATTTCGCATGCGTACGTTAATAAAGCGCTTATCCCACTTATATCGTAAATAACTATTATCTACGCCAGTGAGATAAGAACTTCTTATCCCACTCATTTTGAGTGAGATAAGAAGTTCATTAACGCACGCGTTTTTCTCTGCTTTTAACCAATCAAATAAAAAAGTCAAAATGTCAAAATGTCAAAATAACCCTAAATTAAGGCTTAGACAAAAATAATTACCGTTTAATTTTCCATTTAGAGGCGTAGATTAAAAATTGTACAATATACGTGTGATAACGCTTTATTAACGTACTTTTGCGATTGCCCAACGAGTGCGTAGCACTCGTTGGGCAAATTTCGCATGCGTACGTTAATAAAGCTCTTATCCCACTTATATCGTAAATAACTATTATCTACGCCAGTGAGATAAGAACTTCTTATCCCACTTATTTTGAGTGAGATAAGAAGTTCATTAACGCACGCGTTTTTCTCTGCTTTTAACCAATCAAATAAAAAAGTCAAAATGTCAAAATAACCCTAAATTAAGTCTTAGACAAAAATAATTACCGTTTATTTTTTCATTTACAGGCGTAGATAAAAATTTGTACAATATACGTGTGATAACGCTTTATTAACGTACTTTTGCGATTGCCCAACTCGTGCTACGCACTCGTTGGGCAAATTTCGCATGCGTACGTTAATAAAGCTCTTATCCCACTTATATCGTAAATAACTATTATCTATGCCAGTGAAATAAGAACTTCTTATCCCACTCATTTTGACTGAGATAAGAAGTTCATTAACGCACGCGTTTTTCTCTGCTTTTAACCGATCAAATAAAAAATTCAAAATGTCAAAATGTCAAAATAACCCTAAATTAAAGTCTTAGACAAAAATAATTACCGTTTATTTTTTCATTTAGAGGCGTAGATAAAAATTTGTACAATATACGTGTGATAACGCTTTATTAACGTACTTTTGCGATTGCCCAACTCGTGCTACGCACTTTGGGCAAATTTCGCATGCGTACGTTAATAAAGCTCTTATCCCACATATCGTAAATAACTATTATAATTACACCCCGTATGACAGGTGGGGTAATAATTTAGATACTCTACTAGGTTTTTGACATTAAAGGGGTAATAAATCGATTTTAATTACCATCTTGACGGACCCTGTCCTTTGCAGGCTATAGCTGAAGTGTCCCGTCCTATACTTAGACTGCGCAAGAAACTATATTACAAGAAACCATGCGAGTAACTCACGCATAATAAATCGATAGGTCTCACCGTGTTTTTTAACGCGTTATGGCCTTTTTAATCACCACAACGTGTAGTGGTCTAATACTAGGACAGCAATGATGCAAGTTTTCCTTTGTTGACTTTTTGTGTTAGCCACAACGCGTTATAGCTATTTTTACAAATGCCACAACACGAATATCGCGTTGTGAATAAATTAAATAGACCAAAACGCATTGTGGACGCCTTTGTGCTTAGTGATTGTTTTTTTGTTTTTTGAGCTTAATATATACAATAAAAATCACTAATAAGTTATTATTTTTTAGAAATAATGTATTATACAACTGTTAAAGAAGAAAATACACGAATTGGTCCTTCGTATAGTGAACCTGTACCAAATATAACTAAAGAAGAAAAAGAAAATTATTTTAAATTAATATCTTGGCCCAATCGAAATCCATTTTTCCAACAATATAGGTAAAGCCATATATTTATTGCATTTAATTCTAAAAAACACTTTTTGTAAATATACACATAAATATGGAAGAAAATATAAAAAAGTCGTACAACTTGTGTCTCCAGGCAGTGCCGGCATGTGAGGCGTTCGAACTTCGAACCCTTCAGTCAAAGAACACCAATAAAGCAAAACCGAAATAGGGCGAATGGAAACAGCTAAAGGTAGCCAAACAAGTCTGAGAAGGTCATTTTTATAAAAAAAATTTGATGTGAAAATTGAAAAAGCAGACAAAAATATATGTTGTTCGAAACTTGATTAGAGAAAGTGCTGAATATGATAGTTGTAATTTTTCATTTAATAAAGAGACCTTAAATCGAACAAAGTGCTAAAGCTGAAGTATTGCCGAGGTAATACGAATTTATATTTCCTATAAGGGGTGGATGCAGATTTTTTGTTTCAGGGTGCGCCCCTCAGCCCAAATTAAAAAAAAATCTATTTTAAACTTAGACCATATAACACTGGATGCGTAAACAAAAACTATTTTTGTGTTCAAGATGTGTTTTGACAGTTTTGACAGTAATTGGCGCCCCTTGCAATTTTGACGACATGTTTTTTATATTAAAATTAAAAAGCCATACGGATTTTTAGTAGGTACCAATGCAAGAATATATCATCAAAAGTTTTGAAAAAAATTCATTTGCCATTATTACTTATTTTTACAAATAAATATTTCGGCGATATTTATTTAGAAAATTGATAATTTGCACATTGTGCACAATGTTTAACGAAAAGTTTCAAAAATTCTTGGGTTTGAAAGTGTTAGGTAAACTTTACACAGATACAATAGACTTAAAAATTTTTTTTTATGTTTTTTATAACTTTTTCGTGAACAAATGTAATTGCAAGTATTTTATCTTAAACTAGTTAGGTATTTAGTAAATATAAATAGGAACACGTCTCGCTGGCTCGTTTACCCGCTCGTGACCTCTACACTTTAGAGTCTACAGGGCATGAAGAATGAAGTGTATTGCACTGGCGCTGTACACAAGTTGGGCGGTGCGAGCGGCGCGCAAATTTGATTTTCTAGGACGTACTATTGAGATTTTCTAGGACGTACTAATGAGATCACAAAATTGTTCTTGGATTTATAAATCCAAGAATAATTTTGTGATAAATGTGTATTTTTTTATACTTAATGTATACTTCATAAAAAAAACATAATTTTAAATGAATTACAATTACAAGGTTCTAAATAAATATTAAAAAAATTTAATTGTTAAAATAAATATTAACAAATGAATTTTTTCAAAAACTTTTGAATGTATTATAATTGGTAAATTCTCATGATTACATAAAAAATTGTGGGCCCACTTCAAAAATTATGACTCATTAATCTATACCACATACAATTTTGTAAGTATAAATTTGAATTTTATCAATCCATAACAATTATAATACTTAAGTATTCAGTTAAAATATTTTCTTAGATTTCCCGCCACTATACAATGTACAGTGTACAATGTACATACATCTTGCAGCCAAACAACTGCGATGATTTAGACGCACATTACGCGTCCAGTGTTATAAGATCCAAGCATAGAAAACCCTAAAGGGGGGTCTAAGATTTTAAAAAATCATGTGTTAAAAATTTACAATGCACACTTTAAACAACTCTGAAAGTAAAGTTAAATTTAGAATTTAAAACTTAGACTCAAGTGGTACATATTACAATTGTTTATTTGATACATATTCTACAGCTCTGGGAAGATTACCCACATTATATTGTGTACATTATGATAAATGTGATGCGGAAAGAAAAAATAGACCTCTTGTGGCTCAGCTAAAACTTTGGGGGAGCCAAAAATATAGATCAGGGTCAGAAATCAATTTTTGGAATTTTAACGATTCAGGATACTTAAGTTTTTTTATTACTTTTCTAAAATAAATAGATTAAGCATTTCTTCTTCAATGTTCTTTTTTAGGGCTGCCAAGGTCTGTGGTTTGTGAACATAATTATTATCCGACCGGGAAATATTGCAAGCAGAATATCTATTGTTGGTATCCTGATTTGACTGCTTTAGTCTTCTTGCTTTGGGGTTATTTGAAGTCTTGCGTTTAGGTGCTGTAAAACGCATCCAAATGTGTATTAACTCTGACGGTGCACAGCGGTGGCCACTTGATTTGTTTGTTGTAATCGACAAAAAGCCACTCTAGTACCTAAATTTGACGAATACAAAAACTGTTTTTTTATGTTCAGAACAAAAAAATCAAACAAATTTCAGTTATAATTTTTTATTTACGAATTCATTTCCTTTAAATTACGATTTGGCATAAAATACTTTTATATTACAAAAATCAACCCATATTAATTTAAGAGGCTAAATACAAACGGTCAACGGTATTATTTCTAAGGGATTCATTTAACTCTGGTTTTCTTTCTTACATTAGCTCGAACCATGTGTACCTATGGTAGGTGTAGTATTGTAACACAAACTGTAGCACGAGGAACAATGCCAAGCCGACTGTTCAAAAATAAATTGTGGGGGGGGGTGGACCAGCATGGCTACAACAGGCCAGTTTACCAGAAACAAAACAGAAGCCTTGGACAACAGCCGAAGAAAATAAAAGAAACGATGTCAGCTTCTTGGTTCAAAAGGAGGAATAAATCTCCATAACAAGTCGATATATTACAAAAATTAGTAAAAGTAATTGCCTTTTGTCTCCGATTCATACAAAACCTAAAGAACAAAAAGGCAAATAAACCAAGATCGACTGGTATAGTCTTTACTGAAGAATTACGTAAAGCACACAATGCCATGATAGCTTAGTTTAATTGAAATACTTTATGGATAAGTTACGCATTAAGAAAGAATTATTCCATGGAAAAGAAAAGCCCATTAAAGACTCTATCACCATTCCTTGATGAGGATGGTTTAATTAGAGTGGGGGGAAGGCTACAAAACTTCTCGTTAACACATGGAACCCCCTAGCCATTTTCATCACTTAAGATGCCTAACACAGAACGTTACATGGAGGAAACCAGCTCACCTTACCACTCTTGTCTGACAGAAATATTAGATCATAAGGGCTAAACTACTTATGCGATACAGTATAACCAATTGCATAACATGTTTCCGATAAGTTTTAATTATTTAAATTCAAGTATAGCTGTTTTAATTTTGTTGTCATTTAAAATAATAATAGTTATTCTGTAGTTATGTAAATATTTTTTAATTTATTATTAATTTTATTAAATCGTGATCTATGCACTCACTATCTTCTAAAGTTTTCCTATTTGTTTGATTAGTTTGGAAAAGATAGCCGTTTGCACTTAGTTATTTGTGTTGTAAATTTTCTTTTAAGTAATGAGCTATACAAACAAACAAACTCCAATTTTGTTTGAATATAAGATTAACCATATTACTCTGGATCGAGTTTTTAGCATGAGGGATTTGGGAGTTACGTTTGATAAAAATTTGTCATTTTCTATCCATATTAACAATATTTGTAATGAATCTTTACGCATGTTAGGGTTTGTAATTAGAAATTCTGCAGGTATTAAAAGTGAAAAATGTCTTAAGACTTTATATTATTCTTTAGTTCGAACAAAACTGGAGTATTGTTCTTTAATATGGTCACCAGTTTACAATGTTTATATTAGGCGGGTCGAATCGATCAATCGTAAATTTTTGAAATATTTGAATTTAAAAGTTAATGGTTTTTACCCTCCTCAAGGATTTAATCATTCTTCTTTACTTGATCGTTTTGGTTTTACATCCCTGGAAACAAGAAGAATAAATTCGTCATTGACATTTCTATTTAAGTTATTAAATAATAAAATTGACTGTGATATAATTTTAAATAAAATCAATTTTAACGTACCCAGAATTGAATCGCGCTCAATGCGCACTTTTAAATGTCAAATCTGCAGAACCAACGTACTACCTAAAGCTCCAGTAAATGTTATGTGTAAAAACTTTAACCATTTAAACCCTATCTTCGATATACATCACTCATCACTTAACTATATCTTATTTAATTCAAATGTGTTACAATGATTGTTTGTTTATTTTATAAAATATACATATATGTATATTGGGGTTCTTTGGTAATACCTTGTTTATTGTTGTTAAATATTGTATATAACTGTTTTTTTTTAAGTATTGTATTTATATATTATTAATTGTTAGTTGTTATGATACTTTTAAATTTTGCTTTAAAATAATTTATACAATTGTTTTTTATTCCTATACTAGTATATTTGTCCTGTAACTGGTTTTAAACTGTTGGGCAATAAAGTATTTATTTATTTATTTATTTATTTATTTAATATTTCAAGTTTGGTCAAATATATTCATATCACAATTAAAATGCAAGGATTACAAAATTTGATATACTAATACTTTAAAGTTTTTAATCTATTTAAATTTCTGTCGCTTAAATCCTTAAATTTATGAATTTTATAAGTCTTTATATTGTTATACTTTTGCAAAACATTTAAAATATTTGCCATAAATAAAAATTAAACTTTTATAAAAATTTTAAATAAAATAAAACAAATTAAAAACAAATTAGGAAGATCTCCATATCAGGTGATTATGATCTAAATTCAAGTTTGCCCCCAGGGGTTTTTTGTTTGGGGGTGGTCATATATTGGTGCCAAACCGTAAACCGTATACAAAAAATAAATCGCAATAAGTATGCTTAAGATACTTTTTTTCTTTCCGTAAAAAAAAACATTACTTTTCGTAAAAAAACGTTTATAAAAAAAATATTGCCTTGTTGGTGTTAGTTACAAATTCTATTTTTTATTGTCTATAAAAGCAAATACCTTGCCATTTAAACTCCAAACATTCTTGTACCCAATTTTTTCGGAACCAGCCATTTAAACTTCCATTTTTTTCTTTGTTAGGTCTTTCTTGATGTAAATTTTTGTACCTTTCAATTTTTTTAGCTTAAAAAATATTTATCATGTGTTTAATAATATTTAGTTTGACTACTTTGTGGCATTCTTTAATTT